GTTCAACGCTGCCTGTCTCTGTGTGTACCTCTGTGATCAGAAGCAGAAATCAATTTGCAGAGCACAGATTTCCGTATATTTGGAGCATAGGGTCCTCTTTGCCAATACTGGGTCCCATAAACTGTGTGCAGGTTTCTTCAATAACATGTGTATCGCTGGCTGCCCTAAGAGTAGAATCAGAGGTAAGCAGCTGCTACTGGGCCAGGAGCTGAAATAAACTGAAATTAGCCAGAATTTAGAGTCCAACATCTGCCTGAGAATTGCAAACCTTCAGTAGAATTTAGAATTCCCCAAAAATTACATCAGACCGATTCTGCCAGTGAAATTGTTGCCTAGGCGGGGATACATATTTGTTGTCCTTCCTATACCACTATATTTTCATAATCCTATCTCCACAGTCATTTTGATAGGGCAGTGCCCATCCTTTTTTCTTGCATTTGAGTTCAATGGGCAAGATATTAAAATTTCATGACCCAGAGCAACTGACCCCATTCCTTAACAGAATCAAGGAATTGCTGAAGCCATCAAGCACACTACCCTGAATTGTCAGGAAAATTGTACAGTTCTAGGTTAGTTGTTACTGGCTACCTCTCTGTAGCCCATGCAATCCAGGAGAGTAGTGTATAACTGTAGTTTCTCTCAAAACTGGAATTTAGAACTTAATGGAGCAGGAAACAGAAATAGAGCAACTTCCAGAAGTTGCTGGTGAATTTTTCTGGAAGTGATGCTAGCATGATATTGGGGCACATATGTTGCTAATGAAAATGGAGCTGGCTCTGTCTCCATCCTTGCCAATAGCAGAGAGACTAAACTCTGTGGGAAACAGAACTTTCAACACTTGTGTCTTAGTCCATTCATGCTGCTATAACAACATATTGCAAACTGGGTAGCTTATAAACAGTAGAAATGTATCCCTCATTGTTCTAGAGGCAAGGAAGGCCAAGATTGAGACATAAGATTCACTTTTGGGTGAGGGCTTGTTTCTGGCTAGAGGGTGGCATATTGTGTTTTATACAGTGAAAAGGACAAGCAAACGTCCAATGGATTAATCCACTGATAGGATTAGCACCCTTATAATCTAATCACTGTTCTAATCCTCACCTCTGAACATTGCTGCACTGAGAATCAACCTTCTAATACATGAGTCTTTGGTGGAAACTTCATGTTTGAACCATAAAATCAAGTTAAATAGACTGAAGCTGGGTCACAAAATCCAAGTAGGCTCATATTATATTGAGGATCAAATTATGAGGTAGAGAATTGAAGAGTACTAGTCCACTGGAGGAGTATATGCAGATGAAAAAGGGAAATCTAGAGGGAACGTTTCAACCAAAGCCCTTATGTTTATGAAGGCATTTTATTTGGTGTCCATGATCATTAATACAGGTATGCTGAAATCTAATTTAAAAGTCAAAAGAAAATGATTGTATAACTCCTGCTTCATTAATTCAATATTCTTATAGTTTTAAACATTTTTCTATCTATTTCTCCCATGCAATTGGTTCCTAAGTCTGGGAAATATTCTTCAGTCTGTTTCTCTGGTGACCAAAGTAATTTATCTAAAACATGAATTTGACAGTTACTTTTTAAGTGCTTCATTCCCTCCCCATTTGCTACAGGATTAAATACTAATGCCTGAGACAGCATATTAAGACCATTTACTTAGGATTTCCCCCTGCTTATTTTTCCATACTCATCTGTCGCTATTTTCCTTCCCTTCCTACCCTCAGTGAATTACTGGTATTTCCTGGAATATGCCCTTATACATTCCTTCATGACTCAGTTCCTTTGGATATTGTCTGGAATGCTGCACTGTTGTCTGTCTGGTGAACTCCTGAAACTCCTCGTAGTCCTCTAAGACGTTCTGCCTCTTTGAAGTCTTTCCTGACTTGACAAAACAGAATTGAACACTCTTTCCTCAGGATTTCCTTTGTCTCTGGCTCACGGCTCTATTTTTAGCACCCACTGCTGTGAATTACAATGATTTGAAAATTTGAGTGTTGCTAGAGAGCATGAAAACTAACTTCTGTGCCTTCAGGATCTGGCATAGCTGCTGACACATAGTAGGGTTTCTAATTGCCTTTCAATATTCACAATTCTTTGGATAAACAAAATATTTGTGTTTAAAAACAGGAAGAGTCTGTCAACTAATTCGTGTTGATGACCTCTTACATCTGAGATTTGAATTCTAAAACATGTGACATTGATTCTTTTATTGATTTTATTAACATTTCCTCTAAGTTAGGCATGGAAGTACAAGGATCAGCAAAATTCATTGTTGCTCTACTGCCCTCATGAAGTTAAGAATTTATTGAGAATGTTGGTGTGGTGGTACATGTCTGCAATCCCAGTTACTCAGGAGGCTGAAGTAGGAGGGTCAAGTTTGAGGCTACCCTGGGCATCATAGTGAGATCTTCATCTCAATAAAACTATTACAGCATTTTTTACAAATTACTAAATAAAATAGAACATTTTAGTTTTGGCCCATGATGTCAGTCTGAAATTAACCGTACCACAAGCCTTTCTGAAATATAGGGTTAAAGCCTTTGTTTATTACACTGTAGCTTAGTTACTTTTCTTGTTACTGAGACAAAATACCTGACACCCAAAGTTAAAGGAGGAAAGGTTTGTTTAGCTCAGTTTGTAGGGGTTTCAGTCCATAATTGGCTGAAAGTGAGGGTGACATGGTCGACAGGCATCACAAAGGAGAAGCAGTCCATGGCAAGCAGAAAACAGCAATAACAAGTAAGCAAGGGACGAGACAAGCTTCTTTCTGTCCGTTACACTGTACCCAGTCTACTGAGGTTAGGGCGGTGCCAAGGTAAGCAGTGGACTGATTTAGTAGTCACCAGTCTTTAATCCTAGCACCCTTAATCCTAGCATTGCACTAAGAATCAATCACATACTCTAGACTCAGCCACCTCTGAAAAAGCCCCACCTATGTCTGCATGAGGCTTGAGGGGACATCTACACACAAGCCATACTGCTTTCCCTTTTTACTTGTTATGGTGCTGCCTTTTGTTTTCAAGCACAGAAAATCATTTCAGTTGATAAACACAACAGATTTAAAAATATGTAAAATAGTTGTACATTTTGTTTTAATCCAAATAAAATTTTTTCATCAGAAATTCCCCGGGATTTTTATAGTTTTCCAAGTGCTTTTGCATTTATAGCAGTATTTGGTCTCAGTTGTAGGGATGAGGGGAAACCTTCCAGAATCAACAACACAGGATCACATTTTTAGAATGGAGGGGCCACCTTTAAGCAGCAAGAGCTTATTGGGATACATTCAAGGGAATAAAGGTCTTAGGTGGTCCGTGATGTCACTGAAATTATCTACACTACAAGTCTTTCTGAAATGTAAGGTTAAAGCTTTTGACATTCACAGCCAATAAGGAATAAACAACTTCTACATTCTACTTCTTCTTCCTCTTCTCCTTTCTCTCCTTTCCTTTCTCTCCCCCTTCCTCTCCTTTTTATTCTTCTTATAAACTTCTTCCTTAGGTAATTGGAAGAATAAAAGAAGCTGCTGAGTATTGGCATTTTGAAAATGAAAACTGAGAAAATAAAAGATAAACATAGATGCTGAATTAAAAATTAAAAAAAAAATCATAGCCTCTGTGAAAATCAGTTATTAGAAAGTTTAAATAAGTTCTATATTCAAAGGGTTGGGTTTGGCTTTCTTCTCAGCTGGGCTGAGCTAAAACAAGGACAGACTTGGAGTGAGGCAGAACAGCATTGCTTAGGATTAGGGTTTATCTTTCTTAAATTTGGCTAAACGGCTCCTCCAGCCAGTCAGCCAGACCTGGTTACTAACTGGAAATTGCTGCAGAGCAGAGCTCCAAGTTTTTTCCTTTTAGGCGGCATGCTCCTGTGGTGGAGACATGTTGCTACAGGAGTTTAACTTTAAAATCCTCATTTTAATATGGAAAGAGATAAACAGAAGGCAAACTAAAATTGCTATTTCAGCTTGACTCCAAAACAGTTCTAATCTCCTAAATCAAAGCTAGGTTGTCTTACTAAATTGGGAGCATTGAAAAAAAGGTAGTTTTGTAAAATTTACAGTATCAGTGTAACAATTAGTCTACTACTGATATTTTTTCTTTCTGGGGGTATCACCAAAGACAGTCAGTCTCATTTATCTTTTAAGAATGGTTTGTAGGATTGTAAGTATTGCTTAGAGGCAAATCTGGGCTTGATCCTAACACTGCAATAAAATAAGAGTGGTAGAAGATGTGAAGCTTTCAAGGTGATAGTGTTTCCTTTGAGATTTAGGGAGGGAAGGAAATGGGGAAAGGACAAGACTGAGACAGTTAAGTTAGTCCTTAGGCTTGTGGGGTTAACAGACATACCAAAAAATTGGGGGTTAAAAATTAGACTAGTCTCCAAGGCTATAACACTAAGACAACACAACAGGAGACAAGAGGTTAAAACATCAGCTCAGCCTTTAAAGACTATGTGGTCAGTGGAGACACCACAAAGCCAGAGCCAAATAAAACAAGGTCATTAAAATCAAGCCATTTTAGTCACTTTTCTCACTGCAGAGACACAATACCAGACACCCATAACTTAAAGGAAGTAAGGTTTATTTTGGTTCAGTTACAGAAACTTCAGTGCAGTTCAGCAGGCTCACACACAGAAAACAGCTTGTGGGAAACGCCTGGGAAAGCTGCTCACATCATGGCAAGCAGGAAGCACAGGAAGGAGGAGCTGGAGTGATACATACTCCCGACAGGAAATCAGCTATGGCGCCACTGTGGTCCAATCCTCTCTCCAAAAGCCCTACTTATGAGCAAGTAAGGGCCTTTGGGGGCCATTTTCCATGCAAACCATAACACCACTAAAGTAAGCAGGGGAATGATCTGCCTTACTCCAAAACCCAATCGAGAACTTTCCCAAATGATAAGGGGAAAATTCCATGAAGTAAGGGACATAGACATGTGTAAAATGATCACTATAGTAACCTATAGTTACTTTTACTTTTATTAGCATAGTAAAAATCACACCTGAGGTGGGGACTTAGGCATGAGGTGGTTATCTCCAGGCTCTGGAACAGTATTATCCCCACTCTTTGCAAGTGAGAGCAGGTCATTCCCATTCTCTGGAACAAGCAGCAGATCAATGCCACTCTTTGATGAAGTAAAGCTGTCAGTACAAAGCTCTCTGCCATCTGTGATTCTAGACTTGATTGTCTCCATCAGACCTTCAAAGAATCTGAAAGTGAATGGCTTCTTCATATCTCCAGCCTTTCTGCAAATGGCAAAGTCCATGGTGGGCAGGACAACTGATGTCTTGTTTCGTGTAGGAGTTGGAGAACTGAACATCATGCCAACTCTTGGGCAGATTCTGCCTCCACCCCACTGAGGTTGTGAGGGCCAGCTTCCTCGTGCGCTCCCCATGGCACCTCTCTAGGGCTGCTGGAGCACAGTTAGGTTTAAGATTTCCACATTTAATTTAGTAAGTTCAGATTTGAGTTCTATTAGCTTATTCTCTGTCAGATCTTTTGGTTGGGAAGTTGAGTGAAGTTTATCTGCACCCCCAGAGGTCTCGCTCATGGTGTCTGGCATGAACAGGGAAATAAGACTTTTCTCAAAGGAGTTCAATTCTAATCTTTGGTAGAGAGAGTTCAGTTCTCCCCGGTGGAGAAATAATCAAGTGAAGAGAGCTGAAATCTAATCCTGAAGACTCAGATTCCTGGCCACGAGACTCAGACTGGAAGGGACCATACCTTGGCTGGTAAAAATGAGGACTCTGCTGGTAAGTGGAGGTCCTGGCCTGCATAGCGGATGCCTCTGGTGGGCGTCCACTTCTGGGGGGCGGGGTTGGAGGTCAGGTCAGGCCACAGCTGCAGACGGTGAGACTTCTGGTTGGAGGTTGACCCCTTTGCTGGATTAAAAGGTGCTACCAGCACTCTTCAAGGTGTTTTGGCATTACAAGGACGCTGTGAGGTAGGCAGTCCCTCAATTATTATCTGAAGAAGAGAAATTTAGTTTCCTGCCACAGTGGGTGATTATCTCTGGTGTACAAAACAAGTTATCTGGCATCTTTTTTGACAAGGTTTCACTATGTAGTCTATGCTGGGCTTGAACTAACTGTGTAGCCCAGGCTGGCCTCAAACCTAGCAATCCTCCTGTCTCAGCCTTCCCAGTAGTGAGATTACAGGCGTGTGCCTCCACACATGGCTCACGTCTTTTTACCACACTAGTTATTGAAATTCACTTGAAAGTGAGTTGAATCCTTGTGTTAACATTATATATACATAATACATAAATAAGTAATTGTCCCTTAAAGGGGTAAGAAGTTCAGAACCCCTGGGCTTGTCCCCTTCTCTATCTTCCCTGCCCAGATTTCCACAGGGACCCTGAGAACGTCCTGGTATTACTTGAATTTCAAGGATCCACAGAGCTCAGTAGGGACTAACATGGTCCCCCAAGGAAGTATCAGCAGTACCAGGGACTTGAAATAGCGGGACTCAGAAAGTAAATCTGACCAGTCACAATTGTCTTATGGGGTTTAGGAGTAAATCTACAAGAGTTTCCTTTTTTTTTTTTTAAATTTAAGTTTAATAAAAGCAAAGATTATTGCAGTTTGATAATTTATGGGAGAAGGGAAAAGACACACGCAAACGACAGAGAATGAGTTTCCAGTACTGAAGCTGAATTTTGTACCCCTCACCATTTCTTAAAGTGTGTCTGCCTATATTCATAGTGATGAGTTGTGAGAGGTGGAACGAGTTAGATAAGATCTGCCTGAGTGTCAACCCACCACATCCCCCCAAATCTACTCAGCTCTTATAGTTCATACTGTGGAGGAATCTGAACATCAGTCCAGTGAGGGCATGTGATCGGGCACTGTAGTATGATGTGTGGCTCTCCAATAAATTGGCTCTCCAATTTACTGTGTGGCTCTCCATTCGCAGGGAATAGCCTTGAGCAATCTTAGATTCTTGTGATTTGTTGAATATTCTGGTAATTCTTGCAAGCGTGATTTTGTGGAACATAATGTAATCCTTTGGATATTTCAGCTGTTCACCATGTTCATGTCTGTGTAGTTATATCCAAATTAATTTTAGCCCTTTTCGCACAGCCTAGTAATGTTCATTTTTGTTTTGCTTTGAAAGGTATTCTTGCCTAGATTAAAAAGTGAGAGTTGTTCTTGCTTGAAACGTGATGGCTGGTGAGGGATTTGGCCGTGCATATAAATACCTAAAAAGGGCAACTAGAGCACCCTAAGAATTATTTTGTTTTTTCTTTAAAATTTCTTTTAAACTTTATTAGTAGGTGTTTGCAGTTCATGCAGTTTACAGTCATCTTGTGGAGTGGTTACGTGTACATACCACAACTTGTTTCTGTTTTAATCTCCTTTTCCTTTCCTCTTCTCTTCCTCCCTCCTTCAATTCCCTATCCAATTTTTCATTCTTACTGATATTGCTAATCTTAGCTCATATTATGGCAGATGATGTTTACATTAATTGAGGTTCTTAGGTTCCTGTACATGGCATATCTTTATTCTACTTATTTCCCCTTCCCCTCCTCCTCACCCCTTGCACTTTCTCCCTTGGACCACTTCCCTATTGCAGGAGATCCAGCCCCTAGTCCAGTCCCCTTCTATCCATCCTCATTATTTTATTTGTCATTTGCCTCACTCAAATGAGAGATAACATACAGATCTTATAGTATTTTATATCCTTTTATATTCTACATATAGTATAGTATATTCTTATAATATTTTCCCCAGCTTGTGTATCTGGCTTATTTCACTCAACATTATATTTTCTAGGTGTATCCAGTTTCCTACAAATGTCTCAAATCTGTCATTCTTTTTTTTTTTGGTACTGGGAATCAAACTCAGGACCTTGAGCTTGCCAGGCAGGCATTGTGCCATTGAGGTATATCCCTAGCCCTGTCACTCTTTATAGTACAGTAGTATTCCATTACATATAGAAACCACATTTTTTTGTGCAATCACTGGTTGTGATGTTTCTAGGATTCAGCTATTTCTAGAATTTATTATGAGTTGCCCTTCTATAAATATTGGTATGAATGTATCACTGTAGTACGATGTCTTAAACTATTTGGGGAAGATACCTAGCAGGTGGATCACAGGGTCATATGAAATTTCTAATTATAGTTCTTTGAGAAATTTCCATACTGAATTTCATAATTGTACCATTTTACATTCCCACCAACAATGAAGGAGGGTTTCTTTTTCAGCACAGCCTTGTCAGCATTTGTTATTGTTTGCTTTCTTAATCATTGCTATTTTTTTCTAGAGTAAGATGGAATCCTAGCATTATTTTAATTTGCATTTCTCTGATGGCCAGAGATGTAGAGCATTTTTTTCATATGTTTGTTGACTGTTTGTATTTCTTCTGCAAAGTACCTGTTTATTTCTCTTGCTCATTTCTTCACTGGATCTTTAATTTTAGGTGGTTTAATTTTTTGGAGTTCTTTG